CCCCGGAGGTGGGAACTTTCGCCTAGGGGGCCTGGGGGCCCGAGGGCGCGGGGCGTGGTGCCAGGGAACTTGGCGGAGCTGGGGGAGGGGGTCCGCCAGGCTGGAGGGCCTGCGGGGACCGGTGCGGGGGGGACTTGGGGGTCCTGGACCTCGGTCGCGCTGGTGTGTGTGGCGGGGGCGGGGGGGTCATCGGGCTCTTTGGAAGGGTTTTGCGGGACGTGTCAGGGATCGGAGTTTGGGGTTCGGGGCTGCGGGGCTCTGGTCCCACACGAACTGGGAGAACTCGTTCGCTTGGGCGATGGGGCACTGGCTGGGGGATATCCGCTCATCGCGCAGCCTTTCTTTGCGAACCTCGGTCCCGCAAGGCCGTGGGGGCGCCGAGAGGAAGGGACGTGCGGGACGGTCCGACTTGGGGGTCGTCTCTTTGCGAGTCGCTGGGAGGGCTGAGTTCCCAGGGGGATCGGGGTCTCCCAGGCCGTCCCGAGCGGGGCCGGGGGGACGAGGTAACTGTGGCGCTTGGGAAGTGCGGGTCTGGAGGGCTGGGGGGGCGTCGTCCTTGGCGGGAGGCTGGGGGCAGGGGCGGCCCGGGCTCCGGGCCGAGCGGAGGGGGAGGGGACCGGCCAGCTCCTAGCTCGGCTCCCGCCCCTCCCCCGCCGCCTCCGAACAAACTTTTCTTTCTCTTCAAGTTGAGGCCGGCGCTGCGGGCGGCGGCGGCTGCGCGGAGATCGAGGCGGCCGGCGCGGCGGAGCGTGGAGCCCCGGGACCGGGCTGGCTCGGGCCGGTGGATCCTCAGGCCCAGCCAGCACCCGGGCACGGCCTCAGCCTCGACTCTGAGCTTTCCCGGGCCGATGGCGCGGGGCGGCAGGCATCGGCGGCGCTGAGCCCCGTTCGGGCCATGGCCTCAGTGTGCGGGGCACCGAGCCCCGGGGGCGCGCTGGGCAGCCCGGCCCCCGCCTGGTATCACCGCGATCTGAGCCGCGCCGCCGCGGAGGAGCTGCTGGCTCGGGCGGGCCGCGATGGCAGCTTCCTGGTGCGAGACAGCGAGAGCGTGGCGGGGGCCTTCGCGCTCTGCGTCCTGTGAGTAGGGCGGGCGCACGCCGGTGTGCCTCGGTGGTGGTGGTGGGGTGACTGGAGCTGTGGGGCTGTAGCCCCGCCTTCACCCCGAGTGGAGACCTTGACTTTATCTCTGGGTGGAGGAAGGATACAGGGGAGCACTTCCTGCTGTGTCTGAGAGCACTTTCTGAGGCCTGAGGCCAGAGTTCTGAAGCTCAGGGTGGTGTGATGAGGAGGAATGCTGGCTGGCTGTGGCAGGCCCCCTCAGCCTCTCCCAGTGCCCCAGACGAACAGGGGAAAGGATGCATGTTCCACGTGCGTGCAGTTCTTTTTAAAGCACTGAGTGGTAGGCAGTAGGGGGCAGAGGGACCAGTGTTCGGATGCCCAGTAATTTTTTTTTAGAAGTCTGTGGCTATATATATGGTTGTGGGGTGGGGTGGAAAAGTGTGTATTGAGAGGAAGACCTGGGGAGGCAACCGGGTGAAGCTGGTGGGATAGAACCTTCTTTTCATGAATCAGTGAGTGAGTCTGTCTTGGCTGTGGATTGAGCCCTGGTTATCTGGCCATGCATGAGTACTGAGTATAAAGCTAGATTTGGCCGTTTTGAGTGGGTCTGGGCCAGTGGCTGGACCTGGCAGCTGTGTATAGTAGTGCCGTACTTTCTGTTTGCAGTCTTCTTTATGACCGGTACTCCCACAGTTCAACACTGAGTGGGTCTCTGTGGGAAGCACCAGGGGCTGCTGGGTTTAGACTTAGAGAGAACACTCTTAGAGGACCCATTTCCTCTTTCCCATCGATTGTCCTCTTCTGACATCTTTGGGAATGCACTGGCCTGGCCTACAGGGAACATTTTTTGGTTGTCATTTTTGGGATAGGGCTGTGGGCATTTGGTAGATAGAATCCAGAGATGTTGCTCATCTTTGACAGTACCTAAGACAACAAAGGATTGTGGGGTTTCACAGGCTGGTAGTAGACATTGAGAACTCTGGCCCAGGCAGTTGACCGGCTGAGTGAAGGCCCTGTAAACCTCAGCAACAAGTCTGAGGCCCACTCTGTGCAGAAACTAAAGCCAGATCTTATGTCCATGAAAATCCCAAGACTTCTGCCTCCTAGCCACCTCTAAACAGATCCCTTAATTAGGGAGGGGACAGGGGCAGGTGCTGGATCAGCTGTCAGTGGGAGGGGGACAGCTGGTGCCTTGTCTGGGTAAGGAACTATTGTCCCAGTGAGGAGAGATCCTGGTTCCATTGTCAGGGAAGGCATTTGGGGGTGTGGGGACCTGGTGTGTGTGTGTGTGTGTGTGTGTGTGTGTGTGTGTGTGTATGTGTGTATGTGTGTGTGTGTGTGTTTATGGCGGGCCCAGGTTTCGGCTTTCAGGAGCCTGGCAGAAGGAAGTGGGTGGTTTCTTAGATTTCCCCAATACATGCTTACCTGTATACAAATCACATGTACACAAATAATGCTCAGGACACACGCCTGCCCTGACAGACAAACGGGCCTCTCCCCTGGTTTTGGATGCCAGCCAGCCCTACCTTTTATTTGTTCTGTGACCTTGAGCAAATCTTTTTTTTTTTTTTCCTTTTTGAGCCCTAGTTTCCTCATCTGGAGAACAGAAATATTGATATGTCTGCTTTACAGTGTGAATGTAAAGTGAGCTTTATGGGATGCATGACGCAGTCAGGGCTTGGTTGCCGGAATGCTACTGTCATAAATACAGATTCAGACACCACAAAGTAATGTGTCCCCACTAAGGCAGGGAGAGAATGACCTTGTGGTGTTTGGTCCTCTCTGGAGCTAGTACCCGCTTCTGCCCAGCATAGACAGAGACCACAGTGCCTCTCTGAGGTGTGGAGGCCAAGGGAACCTTCCATCCCCTGCTTAGTAAGTGGCTGGCTCAGCTGTCACCTGCTCAGCTGCCACCACCATCTGTCAGCACCCCTCTTGGCTTGGGGTTCCTGGAGGCTGAGTCTCTCATAGGGATCCCCCTTGGCTCCTTCCGGTGTCCTGATGCTTGAAGAGAGAAAGCAAAGCCCTAGGTTGATGCCCCCACAATCCCCAGCAAAACTCCCCCGCCACACCCAGCTCCAGAGGGGCCAGACACCAACATAAACACAGACAGAGCCTCACGCGTGTGCTAGCACATTGCCCATGCATGCAAATAGGATCTGCCCAGGCCTCTGAGGACTTCTACTCTGGCGGGGGGCCCAGACTGGTACCTCAGCCCAGAGGGGCTGTTTAGACAGCTGTAGAGGCCACAAAAGAGCTGCCTGTTGCTTCCCAGGCCCTGCGGTGGGTGGGTTTGGAGTCTGTATGGTCTGGGAGTGGAGAGGGGGCATGGTTAGTCCTGCTCTTGTTGGCAGTACTGAGAGGGTAGAAGTTGACTGGCCCCACCATTAACCCTGTGCAGCCTGGACAAGTGGTTCCAGAGACCCAAGATGAGGGGTCTGTGGCTGAGTTGGGGGCAGGGGTAAGTAGGAAGAAGAAAGTGTTGGTCTTCAGACTCCAGCTGAGGGGTGATGGGTTCTGGTCCCTTCTTTGCCACTAGATACCAAAAGCACGTGCACACATACCGAATTCTGCCAGACGGAGAGGACTTCCTGGCTGTGCAGGTAGGAACTCAGACCCGTGACCTCTAATTTTGGTTTAGCCTCAGGCTTGGAGAGCTGCTTGCTGGCTGACTCTCCCATCCCTGTTGGTCCAGACCTCACAGGGCGTTCCCGTGCGCCGCTTCCAGACCCTGGGTGAGCTTATAGGCCTGTATGCCCAGCCCAACCAGGGTCTTGTGTGTGCCCTGCTGCTGCCGGTAGAGGGGGAGAGAGAGCCAGACCCACCAGATGATCGGGATGCCTCAGGTATTGCTCATCCTACTGCCCGGGAGATAGCTCGGTGGGTAGAGCACCTGCCACATTAAGTGCCAGGACCAGAGTGGAGTTCAGAGCCACCTAAAAGCTGGGTAGGTGTGGTGGCCTCGGGCAGGGAATCCCTCAGTATATAAACAAGGTAAAGAGGCCACTCAGCATCAGTCTTGAGCCAACACACATACACACGCACATGCACACACAGGAACCCATGCTGACGTTTTCACATGCCTGCGTAACAGATACATACGTACACGCATACATGCACGCATACATAGATACATACACAAAGGAGAAAAGAAAATCCCTTCCTTGCCAGTCCCTTGACTTTCCCTCCTTCTTCCCCTCCCCTCTTCTCAGGCCTCCCTCCCCTGAAGTTCCACTCTCTCCTAACCTTGGTGCCCCACACTAAACCCTCTTTTTTATGGAAGTCTTTGATGGCCGTGGCATATCCCTGTCACATACCACTGAGTCCAAACTGCTGTCTCTCGGTTCACTGTCTACAGATGTGGAGGATGAGAAGCCCCCACTACCCCCGCGCTCTGGCTCTACCAGCATTTCTGCCCCCGTGGGGCCCAACAGCCCCCTGACACCCCCTGAGACTCCCACAACGC